TGCTCAAAAATGGAAGCTGTCTATTAGCACAGTATTCACCTGTTTACCGATAGAAAACTAATTTTCAAAATACCTTCTACATTTGCAAACACAGCCATAAAACCTCTAATGTGCATGGAACACTCATTTGCCCCAAAGATAGATTCCTCTGATTTTGAAATCATTTCAACTAGAGGGGAAATGGGGGCAAAAAAGAACTTCAGGGGGTGCCCATTTCCTAGAGCAACAAGGAGTAGTCCTGTATCTTTGTACTCCTGGTTCCCAACTCCTGGCTTGGCCAAGTCCGCAGCCCTGGACTGATTTAAACAACTCTTCACAGGTTTTCACTGAAGGAAAGTCCATTGGATAACAGCAGATCCAAACTGCATCCCAGATTTGATTCTGTTCATGTAGGAGTCACCTTGAGCAAGTTTTCACGGTGCGCCACAGGTGTTGAACTAGCACAGCATCATAAGAAAGCCGGTGTGATTGTTCATTGTTGGGAATGGCCATTGTGCTTCTCTTATATATGTTCAAGCTTTGCCAGAAATGTCACTGTAACTTTTGCATTTCATAGTTTTTTGCTCCAGTGTTACCAATGAGCCTTCTCAACCCCCTTAACTAAGGATAACTCTGCATGCGTCTGATCACAGTCTCTAGTCCACGGATGCTTCCGCCACAATTAATCTGTGTGTCTTTAAGATGCTTCTTGGTTCCTTGTGGCAGTGCACTAATTCTGTTAAACCACTGGAAAACTTTCCAGACATCTGAGTATCTCACAGGAACGGGCTGTTACAATTCTCACTTCCTGATTTCCTCGGCTTCTAATTAGTCTGCTTTCATGCCTGGTACCCCTTTAATATCATTAAGCATGCTGAAAAGTTGCATCGCTGCAATCAGTTTTAATGACACATCATAACCTTAAACCATTCATCAGTGCATGGGGTATGGAGAAAAGAGTATAATAGAACGAGGGCAATTTCATTGTTCATTAGCATTATTGCACTCGGTTGGCCTGGGGATAAAATTCCCATTGCTTCAGCACTTGCAAACACAACTTGAAAAAAAATGGGTGCTTCTGTTCTGGCACTTATCACCCAACTCATTGTCTGGGGGCTTTAATCTTGTATTAAATCTTTCGCCCCCAGCTTTTTGTATCAGTGCTATGTGAGTCAAGATTTCAGGTTCTTGTTTTCGGCATCTCTTCGGTTCCTGTTGATTTCTTATTACAACTTTTGCTTAATGTTACTCTAACAACCCCATTTATATTTGAAAAGCCACAAATGAACATCTTTGCTTCAGGCTTATACATGGCTTCTGCTTTTCTTTCTCCTTTACACTTTTTGCCTTTGGCTAACCACATCATAATTGATGTATTAAAAATTCATTTTTGTGCCTACAAGAAGCCTCACATCCCATCATTTTTCGTGGCCAGGATGGAACAATGAAAAATTTAATGTGATTTTAAATGCCTACAGGGGAATTGGTGACAAAACAGTTAAGACTTAAGAGGAAATATTTAGGTTTTAAAATGGCAAATGATTCTGAGCCAAAACTCTTAAAATATCCCTCACCTTAGAAGAAGGGAAAAAATCAAGCACCTTCAGATACTTTGACCTTCCTCCACTTTCCCCAGAAGTGTGTGACTGCAAGGTGATCCGTTCATCTAACAGAAAATCCAGGTGGGGAGTGCCCACAGAAAGGTGGCCCATACAGGACCTCTGGGAAACAAAAGTGAAAGGACATGGTTGAACTTCATGGGATTTCTTCTGCAGAAGCAGTAAAAGTCCTCCCTTTCCTACCGGTAGGGGCTCCTTCTGCTACTCTTCGCTCCATTGCTCTGCAGTCTCCCAGCTGCTTCACTTTCTGATCTGAAACAGCCTTAAGGGAGAAATTAATTCATCCAGTCTTCCCTGGGCTGTATCTGAAGTGGGGGAAATCAGGGGCCTTTAGGATGATTGCGCAGTGAAGGACAGGGCAAACGGCAGGATGAACAGAAACCCAAACCCCACCAGTGGGAATTGACGTTCTTCTCCTCTGCATCTCTTTCCGAAAGCAATTTCTTTTTGATCAAATTGAATAAGGCTGGTGGGGAAAGTCTCTCTCTCTCTCTCTCTCTCTCTCTCTCTCTCTCTCTCTCTCTCTCCTTCCTTCCTTCCTTCCTTCCTTCCTTCCTTCCTTCCTTCCTTCCTTCCTTCCTTCCTTCTGTGGGTGCAACACTAAGCCAAATGGATTGCCAGGGATTGTCCCCAAAGGTAGGAAGCACACCATGTCGAAGGTTCAGTTCCTTAAAGCCAGCTTGTCTGGGGGCACTCATGAACTGCAGTTCAGTTCTCTAACAGGTGCTGCAAAGGGGAAAACTCTGGACCAAGAGTTCCAGAGGCAGCCCTTGGAGAAGGGCTTCGATTAAATATGCACTCACACCAGAATGCTTGCAGCAAAGTAAATCCCCCCCACCATTCCTAGATCTCAATCTTCCATGGGAATGCTAAAAAAGACGTGTGCGATCACCTCCATGATGCAGGGCAGACGGACTCAGAATCGACCTCAGTGAGAAGAATCTGATCAGTTCTTTTAGAAGTGCTACTTTCCATGTTTAGAAAACAGGGGTGTAATTTTCCTTTCTTTAGCTGCACGTATTCAGCAAAGATGCCCAGCATGGAATATAAATGTCCCACTGGAAACTGGAAATTGGAAAAGGGCACCCTAGCAAATATCCTTTAAATGTCCTCTCTTCACGTTGCCTCTCCAGACTGCTTGCTTGCTTACATATTTTTGCCAGGCAGGATGGCTTGCTTAAGGCAATTCCTGCATCTGGGTTTGCCCTCTCAAGGGCAGAGGACAAAATGAGAAGTGAGTGGGAAAACCAATCTCAGGCACGGATTCTCGTTTGCAAGAAAGGCACATTTGCCTGGTGGAAGGAACTGGGGCTACAGCCTTTAAAAAAATCTCCAAAATTTCTCTTCCACCCTGAGCAGTCAGCCATGGCAGGCTTGGTGGTGGGAGGCGCGGCAGCTCATTTGGTGCAAAGCAGCCAAGCTCAGAGATGTGCCAAGGAACACTCTTTGCCTTGCCGCTTCTGGTCCAGTGGAGCTTCTTTTGCCGGTCCCGCCACTGGTCGTTGTGCGCACGTCTTTTTCCTTGGGGTTGCCCTTGGGCACGTGGAGCTGGCAACAAGCTCCCAGGTGCCTTCCTAAGGACGACTGCCATTGCAGTAGCTTATATGAAGTTAACCACAGTGATAAAATGGGAAGAGCGTTGCTTAATGTCATGTCAGCTGGGGTGAACTCCATCTGCAATGGGATTTCCCATGCTCAGAAACAGGGTAACATTGACCTGGAAGACTTTGGAAGTCTTCCAGTGTCCCCTGCAACATCTACATAGAATTGCTGCTGTCTTGGGTTGTAGTAAACAAAAACTTGCCTGAAAAAGCTGGGACACTGCAAAATACATTATTTAAACTAATCTAGACGTTATCTTGCTTGTGCTACATATGACATTTACAAATATGATAATCTGTTTATCATATATGTATCTTACCTTTCTCCCAACTCGGGACTTCTCTGCTGCTCTCATCCTATAAGCTGTCCAGTTACATGGACTTCTAAACTAGATCCATAACAAGATGCAAAGTCCTTTATTGGAAAAAATATGAAAGATTGAAAATATGAGGCTATCAAATTGGGCTAAGAAAGATCATATTAGTATTGATTTTGAAATTTTAAGAACAGTGTTGAAAGGAAAAGATGCAATATATGTGTTCTTGACTTAAATGAAAATACTAGATGCATCTGTGATAAATGGGTTTAGACATCTTTTTATTGATTGATTTCTTATTAAAATGAATTGAGCATATATTTGAACCCTGTACTTCAGGTTAACCACATTTATAGTTTTTTTTAATATCCAACCTCCACATAACCTTACATAGATCATCCATCACAGCAGATCTACACTTTGTACAGATGGCTTCTCCTTTTGATTCCGGATTATCGGCATGGCACAAACCATTTTCCTCGGGGCATCAAAAGAAATGGAAGGATTATGTTTTAAAACCTTCATGTTCAAATAATGGAGTTAGAGCATCTGGGGCAATGCTGGTTTTTTGCCAACTGAACTTTCAAACAAGAATGATCCAAGTAAAGAAATCGTGGCTGAGTCATCGGATGAGTTTCAGCCCCCAGATTAATGCATCTGCATAATGCTCTCCAGCGTTGCAACAGTGGGCGGAAGGAAAAGCGCACGGGTGTCCTTTTCCGACGTGCAGGTTGCAGCATTGCAGGAGAGGCGCCCCGATTTTGCAGGCCTATCCTTCAGCACCATGGAGAGCGCCTTGCAAGTTCAGGCTTGGCCTCAATGCCAGCCCCGCTGGCTCTGGAGCCACCTGCTTAAGGGGGCGCGGGTCTTCAGCCCCGATAGGACTACACGTCCCACAATGCCCATGCGCTCAGGGCTTCGCTCCCATAGAGCTATTGCAGTTCGGAGTCACCGTCTTCGACAACTGATTTCAAATCGAGGCATTTCACTTTCCCCATGCAAAAAACATATGAAAAGGCGAGTGCACCATGAGGATAAACCGATGGCATCTTGTGAGCAACTGGAATCACATTTTAGTGATTTCATATAGAGATCGCGGTGTGCGCCCTGCTTCCTTTCTTTATTTTTCATAGCTCTATGTTTTCCCTCCTGCGGAAATGGGAGAGACCGAACTTCCCACAATGCTGTGCTTCGCAGCGTTCTTAGGATGCGAATGGCAGGAGAGTGAGAAAAAATACATTTTCCATAGGACATTTCGCTCCGGCTTCTTTTGGGGGATCATATTTTTATCCGCGTTTTGATTGAAAAAGGTTCCACGGAGCGTCGCGCACGGGCACGTTAAACAAAGGAATGAGAAAGACCCCGAACTGGTGAGGGCGCCCAGCGAGGCGAACCACGCTCCCCACAATGCACCGCTCCCCGCGCGCACGCGCAGAGCCAGCCGCGCGCCCGCCGTCCTCTCGCGAGAGCTGTGGGGCAGTCGCTCTCGCCCGGAGGAAAGGCCCGGAAGCGCCCTCGAGTCGGGCCTGGCGAGACCCGGGCGGCGCCGCACCGGAGCGGAGCGACATGGCCGAGACCGACCCCAAAACCGTGCAGGACCTGACCGCGGTGGTGAGGGCGGCCTGGCCGGCCGGGGAAACGCCGCGGAGCGCGGCGGGCGCGTTGCCGCGGAGCCCGGGTTGCCGTGGAGACGGGCGGGGCCTGGGGTTGCCGGGCAACGCGCCTGGCTGGGCCATGGGGGGCGCTTCCCTTGCGGGGCTCGCTTCCCTTCGGCTGCTCTTCGCGAGGGTCGTGGGGAGGTGCTCCTTCTCCCCGTCGCCCCCTTTCACAACAGCCTTGCGCTGCAGGCCAGTGGGGGGAGAAGCGATCTGGCCGCATGGCGCTGGCCGCCCTTCATAAGCGCCCCCGGAAGGGCGAGGCAGGCGGGCGGGCTCGCTCGTTCTTGCAATAAGCAATTATGCATTCCCTGTTCCGCCTTTATCCATCCTTTTTCAGTTTCCATAGGAACCCTGAGAACAATTAGGCATGCCTATGTTTAAATTCATTTATTTCTTAAAAGCTTTTCAAAAATACCTTCTTATCGCAAAAGTCTCAGGGCAGTACTACAATAAGTAGTGAAGTCAATAAGTTTGACTTCACAGGGGAGGATAACCCATAGGGTATGATAACAAATTCTTCGGTAGCAGACAAGCCTGGGACTGTTTTGGTTTATTATTTCTCTTTCTGTCCTGTGAATGATACTGAGTTTCACTTTCTGCATAACTGGTCTAGAAAAGGCCTGCCTGCCTGCTTTCGTACAGCACTTGCAGGTGAAAGGAAGCATATTCAGGATGCAGTTTTATATCCTGAGCCACAGGGTCATTTCTTTAGCAAGAGGAGTTCAAACTTTGAAATGTGCGTGAATGATGTTGTATTTGTGTTGTGTGGTTTTATGCTAGTCGAGCTGACAAAGCATTTTATTGCCCCTGAATGAATGAGTGCGCCTACTCAACCTTTCATGCTCCCTTGAACTTTTTAATACCTAAAGTTTTAAACTTTAGGGGCCTTTATCACAACCTTTGCTTTTAAAAGATTTGGTAATCATTTTCGGTCTGGGGCTTTGTAGCAAAGAAGACCCCTTCCCCAACTAAAGACAGTGTACCTAAGGCACAGTTGAAATTAAATTCCAGCAGCTGCAGATGAACTCCTGTTTCAAACAAAGCTTTTCTTTCTCGTCAGGTGCAGACTCTGCTGCAACAAATGCAGGACAAGTTTCAGACCATGTCCGACCAGATAATTGGCAGGAATATCCTTTGGGTTCTCTTCCCTGTTGGTGGAGGTCTTTGTTTACGACGGAGAACTGATGAGACCTAGATTTCCCCAAGGGCTCTGGGCTTAAGGACTCAGCTCGTCCCCCATCTCTGTGCTCAGAAGAATGTTCCTGCTAAGGAACACGGGCAGATGGAGGCATTTTTGATAGCCCATTCTCAGGTCAGGGAAGGCTTGTTGTAGCGTTTCTGTCTGCCATCCAGGGCACGTTTAGATAGAAAAGCAAGCTCACAGCTGAGGGACGGAAGAACGACGCAAGCACTGCATGGGGTCGGGTTGCGCTTAGTGCCTCTGTCGGTCTTTCTTCGGGGACAGAAGGGCAAAACAAGTTTATTGCAGATGCTGCTTCTCTGGCTGATAGTGTTGGGCTGGCTGCTCCCTTGGTACAGTGTTCTTTTTGGGAGGCAGGGGAAGCAGTGTCCTGGCAGCCCTTGGCCTCATTGACCGTGGACGAGGCTCATCAGCTTTGTGGCACCATCAGGATTGGCGGCAGAAGGCCCCCAGGAAGCAGCAACAGGAGTGGACTCCTGCTTTCAGGCCCTGCTTTTGGTGTTCCCAAAGACCCTGTGGGAAACGGGATGCGAGGCTAGAGATGCTGTTGGAGTGGTCCAGCATGGCTGCCCTTCCGTTTGGACGCCATTAGCGCTCAGGTTGGGCGTTTGCTCAGTTTGTGGTTACATAGGAATGTCATGTTTCAGCCTTGACTCTGCTTTCTTTCTCCTCAAGATATGAAATAAAGCAAAATAATTAAGCCTCAGAGAAAGGCCTAGTCTCCTCTTCAGAGAATATCAGGTGGAGGCTAGCCTTTGGAAGGCTGCCTGGGGAATCTGTCGGCTTGCCTTTGTGCGGTTTTGTTTTCTTTAACTTGGATTCACTTGATGATATGAGCTGTCGTATCGACGACCTGGAGAAGAACATTGCGGACCTCATGACCCAAGCAGGGGTGGAGGAGCTGGAAGGTGAAAACAAGGCGGCGGCTACCAAGACTTCAAGTGAGAATTGCTTTGCAAGAATTCAGGGTCTGCAAACCCAAGCGGGGTGGAATGTTAGTTGAGAGCCGAGGCCACCCTTCCGGGCTACGGAAAGAGGCAGGCTGGGTAGAGCAGCTTTCTTGAGGCCATACGCCGACTTATGACATGCACCATCAATGCCAGTCTTTCCTCCTTTTACTTTCAAGAGGAGAAAGGGTGTGGGAAGCCTGGGGGAGACTAAACACTACAACCAGCAACATGGCATTGGCTTCTGAAGCAGGGCGAGGTACAGAAGGTTGAAAGGGTTTCACTAGACCAAAATCCAGTGGGCGGAATTAAGCCTGGCTCTCCCCAGTCTGTATCTGATACTTTACCCACTGTGCTAGTTGCTTTTTAGTAGGAAATGTGCTATTCATTGGCCTTTTTAATGCCACTCGTACACACGCGTGACTTTTGGTGGTGTTATTCTTGTTACTAAATGTGTTGGGTTTATTTTTCTTCAACAGCTTGCCAATAATCTATGATGTGAGCAGGAAAGGAACATTTTTTTCAAGCCTGCGGGAATTTCAAGATTCCAATTGTGATTTTTTTTTCAACTCCTGGTGTGTAAAAGCATTTTTTCTACAGATGTAGAACTCACATTCTTAATGTACCTTGTATAGCTAGATTTGGAACAATTTCTATTCTGATTCCTTGTGTAGGGTGAGTCACACACTTTTTCAAATTATTGCATTCTATAGAATTAATAAAACAGTTTGATGGAGTTCAAGTTACAAATACTTACACTATGATGGATGTTTGTGAAGTTGCACTTTTTTAAAAAAGAAAAAATTCTTTAATGTCTTTCCTTTTTGTAATACTTTTCACTGGGCTGACTAAACGCCTTTGTACTTTCTGTCAGCCTGAACGACACTTGCCATCTATTCTCAAGGCACTGTTAGGGTGTTGAGCACAAGAACAGTAACGTGTTCCGAAATCAGTTATCATACCACTGTGTTTCTCTGTTAGTGATAGAGAAAATGCAACAGGAATTCTGCTCAGGGGAATTTAGCATGTGCGTGGCATAACTATTCTTTTTTAGTCTTGTATCTTCAATCCAGGCACTTTGTGATACCAGCTAGTGATTTCGGACAGATGATATATTAGAGCCATATTTCACTAGATTAACAGCCAACACTGCCTGGGAAATTAGTGCAGTTAGGAGATATTCCTTAAGAAAGCTAGCTTATTCCCATGCATGGAGATTGCCTTCCTGGGGTGCTTATCCTGAAACACACACCTTATTTCGAGGGGGTTAACTAGAAGCAGAGTTCAGTGGTTGGCTTTGGGTAGATGGTTTGCTTTCTGTTTCTTGTTCTGCAAGCATGCCTTTACATTTTGGCAGCGCAAACTTCTGTTTTAACACTAAGTTGCATTTGGGCCACTATTGCTAGTTCATAAAATAGCCACGTGCCTCTTTAGCCCTACAAGTAGGTACCTGTGTCAAGCTTGGCAGCTGTTGATCAAGGTGATGCCAACACACGCAAAACGAGCCTTTAAACGCTGAGATCCGTGAGTATTAGGATGACGGAAACCCTCACATGGGAACACCACAGAAGCTTGTAGCACAAATGCCACACTTGGGAAGCACAATAGGAGCTGGGCATGCTTGTTTCATAGTGGGCCGAAGAAGCAAGGAGAGGGAGACATAGGTCCCTGGAATCACACAATGGGATGGAAGTGTGACTAGCTTGGGATTTTATAGACTTGTGTTTGGTCTGAAAGTTAGGCAAGGTAACTTGGTCCCAGTAGAAGGAGCACCTTCCTAACCGGTTGGTCTCTCAAAGCATCGCTTCTGAAGCTTCCAGTGCAGTTGTGTTAAGAAGGGAGGCGGTAGGAGATGTGCTCTGTGCTCCCACATCCGTCCCCACCACTGCGTAGACCTTCTAGTCCTGTTGTTTGCATTGTCTAATAAAAATGCTGGAATGGCTCTGAAGTGGAGTTGATTTATATCCCCGTGTTGGGCTTTGGGTACCTTAAATCTACTAAATCCTTAATTGCAGGCCGATGCAGGCGCAGGGGACACAAAAGGAAGCACCAGCACACCCCCAAACTGGGCTTCCACCAACTTTGCAGTGCGGCTTGGTTGTTTCTGGCTCCGGACACAATGGGCTTGGGGTCCTACCCGTTGGACAGCCACGGGCAGTGATTCAGTGGCTGCGCACATGCGTGTTCGCCACCCATCGCTGTGCGCTTGCACGCCTGGGCTACTGGCGAGAAGATGGGCTGGCTTGTCATGAGCGACTTGCCCCAGTGGTCTCTCGTTGTCGTGATGGCGGCCATCTTGAATGCTCGCACGGCGTGTTTTCCACCTCATGGGGCTGGCGTTTGGCATTGAGCTGAGTCGCTGCTTCAGACGAGCAGGGTGCTTCCAGGCCAGGAGACTCGCATGCTCTGTGCCACTCACTGGATGAAGGACTGAAGATCCCACCTGTTTCTGTTGTTTCCCTCTTAGCTGAAAGTACTCGACTTTAACCAGTTGCAGATACTGACAGAAATTGTTCAGCTCTGGTTGCCTCCATACCCTTGGAAGCTTCTGTCTGAATATTTCCTAGCAGAAAAAAGGCCCAGCCTGAAGAGGGAATGCCGACGCTCATTTTTTTGAATCTTGGCACCACTTTTTCTGTTAATGACATTCAAGACCTTACTGGTGTGTGGATAGGTTTCATGGTTGCAGAGACCGCCAAAGAAAAAAGCCCTCTTTGGCCGCACTTGGATAATAATCACTGAAATGACAGGCAGCCCTGAATCACACGCCAGCCCGTCAGTTGATCACTGCTTACTCACTGTGCGATTACTCTTAACTAGACATGTCATCTCTGCAGCGAAAAGTACCGTTTTGCCGCTGAACATACAGACCAAAGGCCCATCGAGCCCAGAACTCCATGCACACAGTGGCCATGCAGCTGTCCACAGAATCGCTCAAGCAGGATGGGTGCAGGACCTGCTCCTGTCCGTGCTCCTTAGCACCAGGCACGCCACCCCGGCGAAGGAAGTAGCCCATAGCCAGCAAGGCTAGTAGCCACTGGAGGCCACCTCCCTCTTGGATCTGTCCAATCCCCTTTTAAAGACACCCAGATCATCTCACCCATGGCCATCACCATTTCTCAAGGCAGCAGATTCTGGAGATTAAGTATCGGTTGTGTGAAGCGGTTCTTCCTTTTATCTTTCCTCAACATCCCACAAATCAGCTTCATGGGATGACCCCAAGTTTGAGAGTTGTGGAGGAGAGAAATGCATCCCTTTCTACCATCGCCATACTGTGCATTATTTTAAATACCATTCTTGTGTCTCCTCTTCTTCATTTTTTCCCTAAGCTGAACAGTCTTAAGTTGTAGCACTCCTCTGTACTTTTTCCAACCCAGTAATGTCCTTTTTCAGGTAAGGTGACCAGAACCGAACACAATATTCCAAGTGCAGTTCCACCAAACACTTGCTCAAAATGATGCGCTGACTTGCAAGATGTCCACCCTTGTTTTTTGGACCTTGTTTTGCAACTGGTTTTTGTCATGTTTCCCTTTTCAGAAGCAGCAGAGCTACTGTGAATTAGGGACAGAGGAAAAATTGATCTCGATTCCTTTTGGCAAAAACTGATCCACCGATACCTAAACACAAGACTCAAATGTGGTCTGAAATGTGTACATTTCTAAACTTGTAATATCATGTTAGGGAAACGACAAACTATTGAACAAAGGCATGCATTTGAAAAAATTGCATGAACATGCTTTAGTCAATAGAAAAGGCTTTAAAAAAAGTGCACAATTACAACATTAACTTGGGAAAATCCACATGAAAATATGTGCTTTCCTTTTTGTGCCAAAAAGAAAAAAAGAGACAGAAATGAGATGGGACTTGTGGAAGCTCAGGGGCTTTTTGCTGAATTGCAAATTTCTATATTACATGATCTCTGTGTTGCAATTTTATGGCAGATGGTGCCCTCTAGTGCACAACACACACACAGACTCACGTCAGAGCTTTTCCCAATTAATCATCCAGTTTGCCCTCTCCTAGGAAGCTTTGATGTTGCTGCTTTAATGAGCCACAAGGGGGTTTATAATGTGATCATTGAACTAGGCCGTGTGTTTACCATTAAGGTAGTGAATGGGCTTGACAAATCCTTCGGTAAGCTACCTTTTGAACTGTTGCTTTGCTCCAAAGAGGCTTGAGGTTTGCTGTGATCTCTCTCCTGCTCATTTGAAACTCGCTACTAGGAAGGATGAAAGGCAGAAGAATGACAATGAGTTGGTAGTGCATCGGCGGGGCTGTGATTCGAGGGAACATACAAGAGGGATGTTGGATGGTCTGTTCTGCAATATGGAGCTGTACGAATTTGCTCCAGGGACTGAAACACGCCCAAGGCACAGAGAGTGAAGTCCATGCAGGACTTCCATACCAGGTGCCAAATGACATTTCTGAGTCTCGGGCGAATCCCCTAAACATTCCGTAGACAGCCACACTTCCGGACAACCCATGCTGGCTGGTTTCCCCATTTTTTGGGCCAGTGTTCCTGGCATGGTGTGCAGGCATGGTTTGTGTTTTGGCTTCACCCATTTTTGTTGTTTCCCCCCTACTTTGGCCCAATCACTACTGCAATGCAGCCCTTGAGAACTCTGGACCTTGGCCCGCAGGTTACCCACCTCCGAGATACAAAGTGCCTAGCTTGAATTCTGGCCTTCTGGAGTCGAGCTGAGTAACTTCTCATGGCGCTATCCTTGGTGTTGAAAAGCTGCCATCTCCTGTTGACCCTTTTCTGCAGTGCTGAGGCTATCGGGGCCCATCCAGAGTTTCAGCACTGGACAGCTCCCCCTCGGCCTGTGTGCCTCGTTTGCAGAGTAAATTCCCCCAGCTTTTAAAATCCTCTGGTTCTCCATCAATCACGGTATGCTGCCTGCCAGATAAACGGCACCTGGGAGTTCTCAATAACAGCCCATCCAGCACAGTACTTTTCCTAATTCTAATATGTACATTTCTGCTTTCCCAGGAGCTGAGAATATATTTCTTGCTTTAAATGGTCTGGGAATTTGGACACTGAGTTTGTAATCCCCGTGGTAGCTGCATTTCAGGCTGATGGAGAGAACTACAAAGTATTTAGCAGACCCCCTTGGGGAAATAAAAAGCCCTACCAGGAAGTATGATACGCTGCACGCTACTCCGTGGAGCTCATTTGATGCTCAGTAACGGTCTTGCACAATTAAGTCAATCCCACTCCCGTGCTCTTCAGTTTGTAATCTGCGGTGAAAGCACTTCTATGCCAAGGTGAATCTGACTACCTCATGGGAGCAAGCCATATTCTGCCCAAATTGTTTCAAAATAAACACACTGGCCCACATACTCATTTTGCATACTGTAGCCTGCTAGAAATGAGGCCTCTCCAGGACAAACCTTGCAAAATCAGCAAAGACAGAGAGCTTGTCCTTGCATCAGCGTCTAAGGCAGGGACTGGTAACACTGTGGTCTTCGGATGTTTTGGCCTACAACTCCCAACCTGATCTAAAGAAGCACCATGAGCTTCCTGGAACACATCTGTTTTTTCATGGTTTAATTGACTTTTAAAACCCTTGAGTTGGCTAGAAAATCAAGGCCCTCCCCCATATCCAAAGTGATTTCAGATCAGACTGCAAAAATTATTCTGGTGACATTTTGTACCGCTTTTCTAAATGAGTGCTTTCCTAATAGACTGTGTGGGAGGGAGAAGGGAAATCTGCTCCATAAAATAGTTTTAAATGAGGCAATTCCTTCATAATTAAAGTGAAGAGCTATGATTGAGAGCATAGGAAGTGCACGTTGGAAGGTCTCCTTGGGGTATTTTGTGCACTTTTTCCAGAATAACGTGCTGGTCCCATTAAAGGACTTACTATCCAGTTGCCACACACTCAGCTGAAAAGAACAAAGACAATTTGTTGAGGATGGGACCGAGGCCAACTCCATTTGCTTTTTCTGGCAGGAGGAAACAGTTCTGCTCGAAACAATCTTTGCGGAAGACTCGTTCAGAGTCAGAGAAGCAAATATTGGACTGAAACGGACAAACAGCAACCAGTTGTTCAGACCAAAAGTCAATTGCATATTTGAGAATTTAAGGGTGCAATTTTCATTACAAACAGTGTTACAGATGGAAGAATATAGTACATTACTGAGAGAAGCACTGAATCAGTTTTATGCTTTGCAGCTTGCTCTCTCTCAGGATGTTGGGGGAATCTACAAGAGCTTCAAAGGAATTCAAATTTCTTTCAACATGATTTGCAGATTTTTCAAGCAGGCCAGCCTTTTCTGCAATGCGCAGTCTTGCTGATCCTTTAAAACTTTCCAGAACTGTCTGCAAATTTAGTCCGAATTGCATTAAAAAACCCACTGAACAGAAATGCTCACTTCCCTGCATAGACTGAAGTGTACATTTTCCATTTCCTCTCCCCAGCAAATTCGTCTTAAGCAAAAGGAAATTCTCCTACAGAATTTCATCAGTGAGCAGAGGAAGGAACAAAGACCCTGATCATCTGTGAAACAGACAATAGATTTAGCAACATTTCTAATACACGTACACTTCATGCAAATGGATGGATTAAAAATAACAGATGTTTAGAAATAAAAACACATCTCTTTTACAGGAAAAAATGGCTCAGGTGATTTCCATGGTAGATTTGGGTTTTTTTAAATAATAAGTTTTATTCAAAGTGTTTAGTCCTAAAAACAAAGAAAAACTAACAACAGCATCAATCATCAAAAACATCGAGCCTGCTGGGTCAGCCCCCACATTTTTTTTCCATTTATGATAACATAAAAACATAATCTATATGAAGTCCCGTTTCTCTAGCCAATAATAAAAAGAGTCCCAAGTTTGATAGAAGTCAGTATCTTCTTTCTCCTTCAATGACAAAGTCAGTCTATCCATTTCCGGTAGATTTGGAACACATCACAGACACCAGCCAATCCACA